GAGAGAGAGGGAGGAGAGGAGAGAGAGAGCATAGAGGAGAGAGGAAGAGGAGATGAGAGAGGATGAGAGAGATAGCACGTGAGAGAGAGGAGAGAGAGGAGAGAGAGAGAGAGAGAGAGAGAGAGAGAGAGAGAGAGAGAGAGAGAGAGAGAGAGGGAGAGAGAGAGAGGGAGAGAGAGAGAGAGAGAGAGAGAGAGAGAGAGAGAGAGAGAGGCCCTCAGGCTATTCCGGTCTGAGGGCCTCCCGCATTTCAATAGTGCATTTCTCTGCAGCCTTCCTGATCGAACAGGGGGTCCCGGCCATCGCGGTACAGGTCGGTCAGAGCAGTAGCCACCGTGCCACTGGTACAGATATCTGTGTGGTAGCCATCATGGCACTAGTACTGGTATCTGGTTGGTAGCCATCGTAGTACTGGTATTGAGGCACTGGTCGGCCAGAGCAGAAGCCGACCAGTACCCCGGGTGGCGTGGTGGTGCGGAAATCCTTTTCAGCTCCTGACCGAGAAAGGCAATGGAGCCTCCTAGTGTTGTCTGGCCCCTAGGCTTCCTAGGGCTCCCTGTCTGCAAAATATCAGGGGCCTCTTTAGTGTCCAATTCACTGGACCCCTCCTGACGAATGCATTTGTCGGCATGATGATGACAGGCGTAGGAAGCTGGGGCCGCTCGAAATAACATGGGCCAAATCTGGCGTTTTCGGGATGTCTTTCACCGCGAGTCTTTTATGCTATGCGCCACCCCGACCCCTTCTTACCAACATGTTGTCCTCTCCCCTGGCATAAGATGGGACTTGTGGGCCAACGATAGGGTGTTCTGGGACTTAAGTGCTTAGATCGGTCCTTACCGAACCTGAAATGCCCACTTTCTCAGTTTAAAACGTGTCATTTCGTGATTTAAGAAGGGCCTTACTTGGGTCTACAATGGGTCCTTTCCATACCTGAGAGGGCTCTTTCCTGTGCTCACTATGGGTCCCATCGAGACCCGAGACGGACCACTTCTGTGTTTGCGATGGTCCTGTCCTGATCAGTGACGGGCCCTTTTGAGTCAACAATGGACCCGTTTCAGACAGGAAAAGAGCCCTTCCATGCCTGAAACTGTTATAGGGGCTTCATATCTTGATATTTATGCTTCCCAGACACAAGTGTTGCCTTGTATTGTTTTGTGAGGGCCCCGCCCCCCCCCCCCCTTCGCCCCCCCAATGTTCAGTTGGGCTCTCTCAATGTCGGTTTGCCCCAACCCCAATGTTTTTGGCTGGAATACGACAAAAAACGTGGATAAGATATGCTGATATCGCAAAGACTATCGTCTTTAATCTTTCTGCGTAGTGGCGTCTCGTACCACTTTCATAACAAAGAGTCATGGCTGCTCTCACCACAAGATTGAAATAGTAACAGCTGAGCGGATAAACGATGCAGATAAACTTAACATACCTAGCGCCAAAAGACACGCAATGGTTTGTGATGTTAAAGTGAAAAGCTCTGGAATATAGGGATGACCAAGTCCTTCATGGCTAACCCCGTCCCCGTCCCCCGCAACCAAAATGCGTGCCGCCTCCCATGACCGTCATAGAAGAGCGCCATCGGCGCCCTAAGGTGGGCTCTAAAGGGGCTCCTTCACGTGCCGATCAGAAGAGACGCGTGCGTGCAGTGCCTGCTCCCTGGATCTAACCCTGCATGCCCTCTATATTGCTTAAATTGAAGACTTTCAAAAGTTACACAAAGATTAAAAATATATATTGCGTTTAACCAAAATGAAGTGTGCTAAATCCGATGAGGGGAGGGGCGAGGGGTAGATTGTCGGGCCTTTTGTCCCCCTCTCCCCAATAACTTACAAAAATTGACGCCCCCTGTTTCCAGACCTGAGATGGGGTTTTCTTCTTTTACTTAGATGATACACATTAAACGAATCTATTCCAAAAATCTGTCAGGGGTCTTATTTGGCCACCACAAACATGAAGGAAAAGATAGTTTTGACCCTTATCTCATACATTGAGAGCAGTTTTCCCCGCGGATACAGAGCCACTGGCTTTCTGCGGCTACGATGGGTCCATCGTAGACTAGAGATGGGCCCTTCCCAGGCCCCTAAAGTGAGATGACCTTTTCCGAGCCTAAAGTTCTTCGTTTCTCAGCCTATGCTAGGTCCTTACATGACTTGAGACCAGCAGTTTTTTGAATTTATGAAGGACTCTTTCCAGACTTTAAAGGGCTCTCCCTGTGTCTACGATGGGCCCTACTCCTGACCTGAAACGGGCCCGTTATGAGCTTACGATGAGCCCTTTCCAGACCAGAAAGGGGCCCTTACCGTGTCTGAAGTGACCTGAGTGTTTTCCCGTCCTAAAATGTTGCCACTTCCAGCCTGAGATGGGCTCTTCGCGGGCACAAAACGATTCCCTTCTGAGCTTCAAATGGGCCCTTTCCGAAACAAACTCCAGCCCTCTACGATTGCTTTGGTAGCGCAGTAAGCAAGTACTACCACCTGCAATTGTGAAAATGGGGACGCAAGATGCTTTTGCCTCCGCCTCAACAGATGGGGGCCAGTTTGCCCCTGCTGCCCCTCCCCCCCCCCCCCCCCCCCCGGCTACGCCACCACTGGTGTGTCGTGGTCGGCGGTAGCCTGGGGCTGAAGTGGTCTGAAGTGGTTCGGAGATAACGGGGAACAAGGAGCATTAAGTTTTAAAAAGCCGTTTCACCAGCCCACATTTCGAAAGTTCCGTCAGCATACATGACGTCACGCCTTCCAGCTGACAACCGTGCTGACGACAAACCGAACGGGGCCGCTGACGGGCTGAAAAATCCAAAAAAGGTGAAGGAATGCTACCACCTTCATTGCGATCTGGTAGTATTATTCCATTCATATCTGGCGCGGAAGAGGCGTTCAACTAAAAGCACTGCCGGCTTGCTGTGTGCCGGTTTTGGTTTGACTTTTGCACCCTTGGCTTTGGACGTGCGTCAGTTTAGCGGCAGATTGATATCCAGTTGCCAGTTCGATATTGCCGGTTCATGTAAGTGCCAGATATTGCCAGTTCATATTCAGTGCCAGATAATTGCCAGTTCGATATTGCGGGGCGCCACGATCGCCTCAAAATTTGGTGTGCATAACTTTTCCG